ATAGTACACAAGTATTTAACTTTATTTCGTAAGCTCCGAGTGTTTAAATGGAATATGCTTAGAGCACTGATTGTAGAACTGCTATCGGGATTGGGTCCTGGATTTGGGTGTATATCACCAGCTTATAACAAAATAATTATAGCTGAATTACATAATATAAATGGGTTGAGCATGTAATGGGACAACTGCAGTAATAAAAAACAGACCTGATGGAGACATCTGAAATGGGAGAAAAATGATTTAAAACCTTTGAAGTAGTTATGAATAAAAACTAAGGTGACTGGTATACAAGCTAACTTACAATAGAAACATCGTATGGCAGCCCTCCAGGCACATACGTCATTTCCCATCATGGAGGGTCAAAAGTAAAAAATACAAAATATTGCTGGAGGTTTGCCAACTTTCTTTGAGATAGACAAACATATCCTAGGGGTTTGTTCTTCTTTCTCCCACTTTTTTTCTGATCAACGGTAATATATTAGATTATTTACCTGTATTTACCTGTTCAGCAATAGGAAATGCTGTGTTAGTTATAGGAATATTTAACAAATATATTTCCTGATTTTCGTAATATTTACTGGAATTATGAATAAATATATACAAGATTCCAGTTATTACTTAATAAAAACACATCAAAATACGTTACATTGTAACTGAAAACCTGCTTTTATTAATTTCATAAAATCAATTTTATACATTTTTACTATACATTTACATATAATAGCACTTACTTACTAAAGGTGAAATATTGGAAAGTCCATAAAAAGCACAGATAATGAAAAGTCCATAATTTTAAGAAATTCTACCAAGGCACCAAATAAAAATTCCATAACAAGCACATTTATCACAATGTCACTACAAATGCAAACAAGAGGCCCAGGGGCCTGTATCGCTCACCTGGTTATTTAAGCAATCATGGCACAATATTTACATTTTCTCTGTAATGCCATTTTTTAACCAAACATGTAGGGTAAGAACTTGGAAGCGTTACTATGGAGACTTTATAATTCATAAAGAATTAAGGTTGTTACTATTACAAGCACATTAGTTGGGTTGGAGATAAAAAGTATGTGATGGGTGTTCATTTGTCGAATTGTCTATATAAACAATACCAAACTTTACCCCCTCCCCAAATTCCCCCCTTTTCGGCCCCTAACTCAGCCCCCTAGGGGGCAAGGCTCACACGATTTATATCAGCAGACCCTCCTCCCCTAATAAGTATTTCTCTAGAATATGAACAAATTATTTTCAAAACAATGGAAGATATGGCCCGTCATGTCTATTTCCTATATAAACTATACTAAATTTTACCCCCTCCTCAGGGGCAAACGGGGGCCCTGGGTGACATGAAAATCACAAATTGTATAAACCACCCAAATGCCTTTACAGCTATGGGTAGTATTTGATCCTAGCATTTTTATAACTAAAGAAGATTTTTTTTTAAATTCCCCCCCCCCCTTTTCGGCCCCTAACTCAGCCCCCTAGGGGGGCAGGCTCACAATTTTTTTACCTGCAGACCCCCTCCCCCTAACAAGAACAACTTCCGTTCAAAACAATGGAAGATATGGCCTCTTTAGTTTATTTTCTTAATTTTTTAAACTTTCTCCTTTTTGGCCACCAACTAAACCCCCTAGGGGGCCACACCCTTATTTCATAAATCCATTGAGCCCCTGGTACCAAGGATGCTTTACATTAAATTTAGTTAAAATCCAATCAGTCGTTCAGGAGATAAAACCTTTTAAAGGGAAACGTTGACGCCGGACGACGGACGACGGACGCCGCGGTACGGCAAAAGGTCACTTGCCCTTCGGGCAGGTGAGCTGAAATGGGATGCTGTGTCGGCGTACTGGATTACATCTGTACATGTGGTACCATTCTCGAAACGTTCCTTTAGTTGGTTAAGCGGCTGTCGATGTTACGGTAGTATTTTGCTCTTGGTCATTATTATCAACTAGAAATATCAGTGGACCCAAGCCTTATGGGGTTATCAAAGAGAAACATAACTAATGATTATGTTTTAGGGTAAAATAAGCTAATGAGTGATACTAAGTTATTACCGAGAGGTCCAATGGGCCTGCATCGCTCATCTGGTATTAATCTCACATCTGTAATCTTAAAAGTGGACTTAAATACAGCTACAGGCAGACTATCAGTGTTTGATTCATAAGAATCTATTGAAAGATTTAAACATATGACGCCTGTGGCCTTGAATGTCGAACAAAGACATTAGGTTGAAAGTAGGTCAAGGTCATTAAATTGAACAAACTTGGTAGTCCTTCATCTCAGCATGCTACAGGCCCAATTTCAGTACCCTGGGCCATTTGGTTATTGAGAAGAAGTCGTTTGAAGATTTTAACATATTTGACCCATGTGACCTTGAAAGTGGGTCAAGGTCTTTCATTTGAACAAGCTTGGTAGCCCTTTATCCCAGCATGCTACATGCCCAAAATCAGTACCCTTGGCCTTTTGGTTATTGAGAAGAGGTTGTTTGAAGATTTTAAGACATTTGACCCCTGTGACCTTGAAAGTGGGTCAAGGTCATTCATTTAAACAAACTTGGTGGCCCTTTATCCCAGCATGCTACAGGCCAAATATCAGTACCCTGGGCCTTTTGGTTATTAAGAAGATGTCGTTTGAAGATTTTAAAACATTTGACCCCTTGTGACCTTGAAAGTGGGTCAAGGTCATTCATTTGACAAACTTGGTAGCCCTTCATCCCAGCATGCTACTGGCCAAATAACATCAGCTTGGGCTTCTTGGTTATTCAGAAGAAGTTGTTTCAAGTGAAAAGTTGACGCCGGACGGACGGACGCCGGACGACGGACACCGCACCATTCCATAAGCTCTTCGGGCCAGGTGAGCTAATAATTACACTGAAGACGCATTTATTGGTAAAAAAGATTCCGAAAATAAGGCTCCGATAAGAATTTGCTTCACCCTAAATTAAATCAATTTAAACTAAAATTTTAAAATATATCAGTAATATATTATAAATTATCGTAATGAATGTCTTTGAATATAATTGCGAAATATAGAAATCAAACAATTGAAGGATACAGTGAGTGAATTGTTCCTGGGCATATTGAAGCTGACTATTATGACTAGTAAGTTTTGAAGATTGTCCTTGTTTGTGGATAAGAGCAGATCTGCGATTTAATAAGACCACAGTAAGGAGACAGTCTCTACATAGTTTGAATTTTCAGTAAGAGGTATTGCCCTTTGAACGTGTGCTAGTCTACATTAGCTAACTTGGTAGTGTGGAATTCGCAGAGTGCGAGATGACGTCAGAGAGAGAATGGATAAATATTAGGCAGCCAATGGGCGGTGTTAAATATAGGCAGCCAATGGGCGGTGTTGTAGTGGGCGGTGTTGTAGACGAAGGTAGTCCGTAAAAGTCATATAGTCCCTCAACTATGTACATCGGGATGATGAATGAAACGAGCATTGTGTATATATCGGTTCGGTTTGCCATGCCAAAGAAAGGCTGATGTTTACCTTCTGCAGTAGAGATGTAAACTATCCCTACTTTCAAGCTTGAGAGTGCGTAGTAATTGATGTACAGTATTACCAAAGTGTATTAGATGTCTTAATATAAATCAAAGTACTGAGAGTACTGAGAACATTTCAAAGTCGCACAAAAATGACAAAATGGAAATCCCTAATAACAAAGTGGTATATCTTCGTCACGTTGATGCTATGACCTTGAAACTTTGGAAATACCTTCAATAGACCTTGCTCTTTAATATTTGAAAAAAATGAACTAATTTCATGATTTTTATTTTTGACCTATATTTGACCCCATAACAAGGCTTTGAACTTGATATTCTCTGATAACATGTCATGGAAAAAAGTTAGCCCCGACTAAGCTCTACAAGAAGTATGAAGTGTTCATGCAGTACAACGACAGCTTTCGAAGTTACAAAAAAATGTATGGTCGTTCGAAAAACGTGTAAGGAGTGTGTGGGAATGTCTGTGTGAAGGGTTGAAGGACAATGGTGTGTGGATGTAAGGTCCATTTAGTATAATGCATTGATAAAAAAAACTCTATTTTTAGATCTGTGACCTTGACCTTTGACATTATGATCACGAATTTGTTCGCATATCATGTGTTCCTTGTCTTCTAATACATACTATACACAATATGAACGATATATTTTTATTCGTTCTTGAGATAGAGTGTCCACAAGATCATTTGACCCCTGTGACCTTGAATGAAGGTCAAGGTCAAAATTCTGAAATCTATGTGAGGCCGAACATACACACTATAGATGTACCAAATATCAACTCTATATGTGTCTTAATGAAGGAGAAGAAGCGTTTTTAGTGAAATTTTGGAAATTTTTAATTTTGGCGGGAAAACAAAATTTTCAAAGTGGCATATATTCGTCATTTTTTGATGCTATGACATTGAAACTTTGGAAATACCTTCATTATAACATGCCCTTTGCGATGTGATAAAATTGAACTTATATTGAGTTTTTCATTTTTGACCTATATTTGACCCCATAGCGAGGCATTGCACTTGACATATTCTCTTATAATATGTCATGGAAAAAAGTTAACCCCGACCAAGATCTATCAGAAGTATGAAGCGTTCAAGCAGTACAACAAAAGCTTTCGTAGTTATGGTCGTTCAAAAAACGTTTTAAAAATCTCTATTTTTAGATCTGTGACCTGGACCTTTGATATTATGATCATGAATTTGTTTGCATACCATGTGTTCGTTGTCCTCTAATACATAATCATTCTGAAATATGTACGTTATATCTTTATTCGTTCCTGAGTTAGAGTGTCCACAAGATTTCTGGAAATAAGAATAAGAATCTTTAAGAAAAAAACAGAACCATATCAATATGGAAAACCCTAATTAAATAAGACAATCCATTTGACTACCACCCAGGAGATTAATTGAGAATCACATACATATGGTAGCCCCCGAAGTTGCATTTGGCATATCCGGAAGGCATACTAGCATGTGTTTTCATTGTATGACACCCCAGTCCTTGAGTACCTGTGTTTGCGCTAAGAAACGTGGTCAGAATGACCTAGATTAAAGCGGTCACTTAGATCTACTGACACAGACGAGAACGAAAACAAAGTTGGTTATATAGCGAGAAACAAAAGCAACACGGTTACAGACATGGCACGAAAATCTGGACAGCAGTTACCAGCAGCCTACATGCAGGGGGCATAGATTCACATATAATGCACTTCTATTTCCGGTTTGAGAAAAGGTGAAACAACTCAGCGGGGCAGTAGTCGCTCTTTTAAGGCTTTGCCTTTTCGTAATAAGTTATAGAACACACTGGAACTTTAAGGTAAAACACTTTTAATAATAATGATATACCGATCATGTGTGACACATTAAAATCGAATGTACATCAAAATATGTTAAAATGTGGAATAAGGCCTTGACCTTTTTCCCCCTTTTTTTGTGTATTTACCCCTGTGGCGGATCAAGTTTGGCCTGAAGGGGAAGAAAATTTCCCAAGCATACCTCAAAGCCGTCATTTTTAATTAGACTATATTTGCGGGGCCTCACCCGATGGATTTGCCACTAATTTGTTAAGGTTTCTTAATGGTAAAAGCAGGTCCAGGGTTCATGAATATCGTCTTGAAATCTAGGTATAATGAAAAAATGAAATGTCAGCAACAACTCATAATTGGTGGGGCAGGTTATACAGAGACGTTCAGCCTCGTCCAGGTCTCCCAGTTAAACTTGTAGCTATAGCTAATTCTGTGAGTCCTTTTTAGAAGTTCCTGGATCCTACAGTACCTGTTCACTGGGTCAACCAGACTTGCCAATTTAGTATGTGTGGCAAACTGGATGTGTTTAAAACTATTGATGAGTGACGTAGCGAGTATAGATTCCAACACATCATACTCGCACCCCTCACAATTAATCGTGAGTAAATCCACATCGTAACAACCAACTCCTAACGTCGTTAGAAACACCGTAGTATTGACAACCTTCAGAGAACAAGTGCCGTCTGTAGTCTTTGCCAGGAAAGGTGATGTCGCATCTCCATCATTACCCTCTATACTAACCATGAATACGTCATTCTTTTTAGCCAAGCCAAAATTATACATCACAACATTACGTCTGTTTTCAAATTTCTTGACAAGGTTCCTAAATAGAAGCTTTAGTGGTTCCAACATCACGTAATGTTTTGGATTGTGGTGTTTAATTAAATACTCCGCGTCCTCTCCGACATTACCTCCGACATCAATGATTAAGCTTTGAGAGGTCAGATATGTATGATGGCGATGACGAATATATTGATTATCACCGGACCAAAATTTCGCGTGGGCTGCTTTACAGTCAGGTTCATAATTCTTTACACATTCTTTAAAACGACTCTGTTCGTCCACGTTAAGACGCGTCTCTTTTAACAAAACGTTTCTCGGGCAATCCTTAGGTGTGGCACCATTGAATGGTAAAAATTCCACTTTTTCTAAACCGGTTTCTTTCAATAATTCTGGATCTTCTATACAAACATATATAGGTTTCAGTTTATTCTGTGGCGGCGGACATTTTGACGTTGGACACGTGATCTTTGGTGTCTGTAGACTTGTTTTGATTGGTTGTGGGCACTTGTGGATAAAGTGTACATATATGAATATACAGAGGCTGTTCAAGCATACGAACAGCAGGAACCAGGTTTTCGTACTCCATCTTGTTTGCATCATGTTGATAAATTCAGTCTTCTTCTTTCAATAAGAGACGAATATCCAAGGATCGAGCGATGACTGTCTCTTGAACTATCAGATGCAGTATCAGCACCTGAAACAAAAATAAGGAAAAAAATATTAAACACGTGGGTATAAAATTACATCTCAGCATATTCCACATACAAAACACAAGGAAATCACTTTGTTTCCGCTTGCCATTTAGTTTTCTAGATGTCCGTGTCAACCGGTATGTAGAAGGAAGTTGGCGGGTATTGTTAAGCATTGCATGACAATCACATATCTCACTATCTTTAGATACTGCGTTAATAGAGTTGACCCATGTATAATAGTACAGGTAGCCCTACGGTATATAAGGCCATAGCTACATGTATTCCTTAAATTGTTTCAGTCGTTTTGATGCAAACATTTTTCTTACAATAAAATCTGACGATAAAATTAAGACAAACATAAATTGATAGGTATTGTTGTAATTAATTGTCAATTATTTGTACATCTTTACTAACTAATGAATATTTTAATCAATAATCAACAAGTTACACCGTTAATACATTGCCATAGAGATTTTATATATATTCCAGAACACCATTCAACGGACACGATAGCCAGGGTAACACTGTCTTTCTAGTCAACCTTGCGAATGGTCTCAGTGCAAAGACATTTGTATGAGTAGAAAGTTCTCTGTTATTTATAAAGCTTGTACATGCAGGTATTGTATATAATGTAATACGACGGTTCACAGTTGATTCTAACCTAATGCTTCTGAGAAACAGAGTATTTTTCTTATTTAGTTTGATAAATTTTTTGTACACACACAGAGTAAAAATATGTCAAATGATAACGAGTTTTCTGCCGGAGGGTTTGACGGTTATTTAAAGATCGCTCAACTTCTGCAAATATACGTGTGATGACATGTTAAATCGAAATCGAAATCGAACATGAACTTGAAAGGAAGTGACGTCACGTTTGTTTACAAACAACACAATTTATTTTTGTTAAACAAATTAAATACAAATACATATTTAGAATGCTAATTGCTGTTAGATTAATTGCCGTGTTTGGGTTGTATACAATTGAAAATGTTAAAAAAAAAGAAAACCAAACCAAACAAATACAAAAAATAGGGAACGCTGGAAAGATAAACTGATCAACATTTGTTCGGAAGAATTAAACATATAGTTTAGCACACTAGCCCTATACAATTATATAAACATTCCCTTGAGCTAAACATCGAAACATCTTCAAGTTATTGTTTTAAGTTTAAAAGTAATTTGTTATGCAGCCATACAGTGGACACTCACTCTTACGCTATACAGTTATTGTTTATTTTGTTTTGGTTTGTTTGTGTTTTATGCCCTATTGACAGCTATGGTAATTTATGGACGTGTCAGGTTGTCGTGGTGAGGAAAGACATCCGACCTACGTCCAGTACCTAGCGACTGCCCCAGGTAGGCCTCGAACTCGCGGTGGTGGAGGGCTAGTGGTAGCAGAATTCAGGCGCCTTAACCACTTGGCCACCGCGGCACCTCTATACAGTTGTACTTCTTAGACGACAACATTGACAAAGTGTAGGCTTTACAGGACAAAGGTCCCGTGTTCGACCCTTGATTATTTTGTGTTCTATTTTCAAGCATTCAAATTACGAACAGCTTCAGTTCTGTATAACGCGTCGCTACATGTGACTTTTATGGAATATTGTTTCGAAAGGGGCTTAAACAAATGTTTCACAAATTCGGCATTGGTGCTATTATAGTTTTAACTTACTAAAACTTTATCATACAGCGTTTTTCGTTCAATTGATAGTGATGTGGAATGTTCCACTATAGATGCTGTCCTATATCTAGTGTTCAAACTGCCTTGGAATGAAAGGTTTGACGATTGTTTCTTGTTATTATTTATTTATTTAGTTATCGTCTTTATTTATGTTTTGTTACTTATTTATTTTTTAAATCAGGTTGTTATTTGTCTATATCATCTACTTTTTTGTCACAGAGTAAGTCAGTCAAAGCGTTAGAAAATGACAACAGTCTTGAAATGTTTCTGATATAAACTTTATTTATTTAACAACAATTATGAAACAAGTTATTGCAACTTATATTAATCACTCTTGTTGGCCCGGATGTTAGCGTGTGGGGGGTCTTAGTGTGGGAGGACACCGGAGTACCCGGAGAAAACCCATGTGATCGGGCAGGTGACCCCAACCTTTTCATGTCCGATCGGGGAATCGAACCCCGGCCGCCTTGGTGAAAGACAAGTGCGCTTTTTCCACTGCACCACCCGACCACCCATCAGTTTGTTTATGCAATATTATGCTTAAAAAAGAAATAAAGATAACAAAAAAATGCTATTGTTTGTTTCTGCTCTGGATATATGGCAATCAGCCATCAGAAATATATGCCTAGCAGTGATGTATTTGTATTAGGATCTAGAACCAAGTGTTAACGAGCACTATGATTAGTCGTTTTTGTTTGACGGGAGGCTCGAGTCATGTTTTCCATCCGATGTACATTTACGTCTACTGGTTGTTTAAACCACAGGCCAGTAATCTTCTATTTTTGTCTGTGCGTATGAGTTTACTGTTTGATTTAAATCGAGATGTATAAAGGGCATCCATTGTTTACAGTAATCGGTAAGTCTGTTCAAACAGAGTATCTACACTTGGGTTGTCTAAGAATGTCTACATTTTCTGTATTCTTTTCTTCTATTTTTCCCATTGTGGTGCCTCTCTCGTTTCTTTCATCACTGAGAAGTCGTTAAATTCATAAGAATATGAAACGTCAATCAAATCGCTTCCAGTTTTAAGTAGCAAGCCACTAAAACTAGGACGCTTTTATAAAATGCAAATATTGAAGAAGGTCTACCTGTTTTTATTTGGACAGTCTATCTACTTGGAACGAAGACACTATACACCACAGTGTTTTTGAGTTTTAACTTTTTGGAATGAGTTGTCGTTCAGGTTCAAAGGCGAGGAATTGTTTGTTGTCATTTTTGGATTTTTACAAAAGCAGGAGACCGGATTTGCATTTCTAAAATGACGCAAAAAAACACCATCATCAAATATATTACGTATATAACAGACATACCAAACCTATTTACAATATAGCGGTAAATAACGAAAATTAAAGAAAGCCAATGGGAGAACGAAGTGTCCGAGGGGTAATACATACCGATTCCGAAACTCCATCATACATTTCTCCTGTTTAAACACGACATTGTAGATAAGTATAGCCAAGGTACTATGGTGTTCACGTATTTCAATTTCAAATATCAACGCTTAACCGCAATGCCTCACTTGGTCGAAACAGTTAGGAAAAACATAAAACAATATTCTTATTTCGTTTTCAACTAATTTATCTATGGAATTCTTAACACTAGATTCATAGTAGAACCTCTCTATAGGCTGACTACAATTAAGAGGGAGTAATTAAGACAACAAGGATGGATATATTTATAAACACAATTTGTTATTTTATATACAATGAATACTAGCACACTATGAAGCTAAAATCTGTTATAACTCTTAAACATCACAACACTTGCTGATTGTTAGTAGAGGGGAAACACACATTTACTTATTGGCTGTTGAAATATATTCAGTTATGTATCATGAACGGAGATTAATAAGATATACCCAATGGAATGTGAGGGGGACTGTGTAATATAAATCACAATAATTTAATTTTGCCTATCTCCCCCATAATATTTTTTTTGGGGTATATATCGTATGACGGAACTACTTTTTACACTTCAGAATGCAAAATTACAACGCAGCTTATTTTTAGCGCAATTGTTTAGTTAACGTAAAAATTAAATAAATCTTTAACTGTGCATTTACAAAGTGATTGTCTACTTTTTTAAAATTAAATTATAAAGAATTACCAAGATTTTGTTTTGGTATATACGGTATATACCGAAAAAAATGTGAACTTTGCATAAATCCGCGAAGCGTTTTATGCAAAAAAGTGCACAATTTTTTTTCTGTATATACCGTATATACCAAAACAAAATCTTGGTCATTCCTTAATTAGTTCTTGTTCCACAATCAGTTTCACGAAATGCCTTCGCTATTTAACATGTTTAATTAATCCGAACAAAGTATTCATGTCTTTTAAAATCACGAAATTAAGGGTTTATATTATCTTCCCTTTCTGTTCCAACAGTAGTGAAGACAAATACGGGCTTCCATCTTTTGAGCCCCTAGCATCACCGATGTGACCTAGAAGAACGAAACAGTTGTACGGAGCAGTGTTATTCATTTTTGGCACACAGTATAAATTACCAAATCCTCTAGGTGAAATCAACATGGATGGGGTTCCGTCCATCTTTCTAAAGATATGAGAATATCAGAGATACTAAAACTATGTTTTGAATTGTTTATCGCGAAAAATATTGACCTAGTCTTTTTCATCAGAAGCATAACTGGCGATTGTCATCAATAGAACTTGTATATTCTAAAATAGTTTGATATAAACAATTTCTCTAGCTTTGAGGGATCTTTTTTGGACAATTAGCATCAAATATGGTTTGTTATGAAGACCCTTTGGTTGTGTTATGAAAAACAGTCTTTTTTATATATATTTTGTAAACAATTGCAGGAAGAGTGGAATTACAAGTAGGAGCAAGTCATCGATAGCCTCGTTGGTAGTAATTTGAGCCCAAACGACATACGTGAAATTTTAATGCGGCAACTGTTATAAAAATCTTGCTGTAACAGCCATACATCACGAACTATGATACAATGGTACTATATATAGTATAGAAACATGTATATAGTATAGACACATGCATATAGTATAAACACATGTATATAGTATAGACACATGCATATAGTATAGACATTTGTATATAGTATAGATACGTGTATATAGTATAGACACGTGTATATAGTATAGAAACGTGTTTATAGTATAGACACGTGTATATATTGTATACACATGTATATAGTATAGACACATCTATATAGTATAGACACATCTAGCCGAGGGGACTATTGGTTTTATATAATAGCTATATTTTCAATTATAGTATATCAATTCTATCTTCTTGTAAGATGATGTATATGTACATGTAACTGTTCTGTTTCACTGTGTCTTGAAAAAGAGCGGATCGCTCCGAAAATTTGACAACCTAAACTTGTCCACACTGTTGGAAATACTTCTTTGCCCCACATAGTATAGTATAGTATAGACATATGTATATAGTATAGACACGTGTTTATAGTATAGACACGTATATATATTATATACACATGTATATAGTATAGACACATGTATATAGTATAGACACATGCATATAGTATAGACATTTGTATATAGTATAGATACGTGTATATAGTATAGACACGTGTATATAGTATAGACACGTGTATATAGTATAGACACGTGTTTATAGTATAGACACATGTTCATAGTATAGACACATTTATATAATATAGACACATGTAATATTTATACAGTTCAATCATACAAAATCAAAATAGGAACAACGTAAATACCGGGATGGTGTTATGAGGCTGGAAATTATTTATAACAAGTAAGTAAGTGGTGTGTGTTGGAAACTCGTTGTGTAATTATTGATTGGACAAGTTTAAATGTGTCAACACATACTACAACTACGTTCTAACGGTTATAAAGTGCCATAATACAATAACACCACAATCGGAATATAGTGTTAGGAAAGATGAGGACATCAAACAAAATAGTATTAATTACTATGCCAAATGACAAGAGTTAATTAGTTTAGCAAAACAGCATCACAACTTCAAGGAAAATATACATGGTATACAACGGGAAAACCTTCAATGTTTAAAAAAAAAGAAGAAGAAAAAAGGTAAAATAACAAAAATATTGATGTAAAAAAGATGCGAGAGTGAGTAGCATAATATATGACGCCATGTTCTAATGTCTTCTGGGGTTATAATCACTTTTTTAAAGTTTTACAAATTCTTATTAATTTTAAAAGCAAAAATGCATCTGATAACATTTATAAACTAAATTCCGATGGTTTGCAGAATATGTTTTTCAAGTTCTTAAAATATTAACGATTTCAACTGACACACCATTGTACTTTTTCACTCTAGCCTTAACTCGCCACTGTGTCGCCATTTTTAATTTTTAATTGTATAGAGTTGAATTTTGCTGTAAAATTTAAAAAGTCCAAGGTTTTGAAAATCATATGTTACAAAGTGGGAAATTATACAACACAGATATTTCCTAACGCATTTATCGAAGGAAGCCTTTTTGGTTATTGAGCCCAAAGAAAGTGAAAAACTACACACACACAAAATAGTATAGCAATAAACCAGAGTAACATTATCCCCTTATTTTATAGAATAAAATCTTACATAAAGCTCATACGAAATGGAAACTGATCTTAAGATATTACAGCATGTTTGAAAAAGCGATTGTTGTAGTTTATATATGTTTTACAATCTAATTATTATCCGAAACGAAAGATACTTACATTGATGTTAGATACGTGCAGCCTTGCTGTCTGATCGCCACCTTCAAATGATATCCAGGTTAAGCAAATTGTAAATACACGGTTGTCAATAGTGCGCTAATGTATTCGGTAATAGTCTTATGCGGTAAGCAACGTAGTATGAGCCGTTTTATCCAGGATGGTAGTATTTTGTATAAATCCCTATTTTATGTAGACACAACATTTATTACAATTTAACATATCAATTCATATTTAGCTGCCATACACACAGTGCCGTGGAACAACACACAGTGCCGTTGAACAGATCGCTTCGTCGTCATATATAGTTCAGTTCATTGGCAGACATTATAATATCTGCGCCGATCTGATTGGTCCAACGCTTAATTTGTCTGGACCATAGACAACTAGCGAAGGAAAATCACGTGCGTATTGAACTGAACCCAATTCATTCCATAGCCGGGTCCTAATTTAAAAAAGCCCATCACAATAAGGTAAGAGGAGCAGGTGTCGTTTAACAGGGCTCATTCCCCGAACACCAAATCTGGAGAATTGAAAGGAAGGTGTTTATATAGGAAATCCTTTCAAGTTTAGTCATAGCCTGTTTCAACTAAGAATGTCAACTCATTTTGTAGATATGATACTTAAGTCAATAATAAAATGGATACAAAGTTTTTGTTTCCTACATATAACTGTAATACACATTTAACACAGAACTAAGTAATAGAAAATAATCATTAAATATTTTTTTTTTTACATTATACGAAAAAGAAATTCCACATTGATACTAATGCCAGCAATTAAATACAGTTTCTATTCCTACATATAACAGTTATAGACATTTTATACAGCACTAAAAGATAGCCATTATTAAACATAAATATAAACAGTAAACCTTTCTGGAGCTAAAGTAGATGAAGAATTTTGCATGAATCATGATGATTTTAGTTGGAATGGATTTTTGGAATTCAGAAGTTTTGCCAAAAAGCATAATATCTTCCTTTATTTCGACTGTTTGGTCAGTTTTTAAGTATATCCATCTACGTATGTCTTGCCAGAAGTTATTTGTTATTTGACACTGTTAAAAAAGATGTTCTATAGTTTGTATGCTTTCTTGGCATAAATTACATAAATCGCATTGTTTGATTCCAATTATTTTCAAATAATGATTAAGTGGAAGTATTCTTGAAAGAGGCCTGAAAGTGACCCATTGAATGCTAGTTTTTAAGTCCATAAATAAAGTTTCTAAATCAATCATTTTGAGTCCTCCCTCACTATAGTCTTGAACAATTGTTGAGCGTTTTATTCTATCAATTGGTGATTGCCAGACAATTTTTTTTTTCAATGATTGAATTATGTCTTGAGTAGGGAGAGATGTAAACAGGTGATTCATTTTTGCAATGATAAGCGATTTAAGAACAGTTATTCTCCTTATAGGTGTTAAAATTCTTCTTGACCATTGATGTAACTTGCCATCTATAATACTAATAATTTTGTTGAAATTTACAGTAACCATGTCTTCTAAATTGACAGAGAAATCAATCCCAAGTAAGGTAAATTTGGTTGTTCCCCATTTTAGTTTTTTCAGTATTTTCTTTTAACCCTGATATTTTAGCATATTTATATCATATAAAGATTTTGTGCCATTTAAAATAACGTATGTGTCATCAGCGAACTGTGAGAGCCCGTGTTCTTTGTGATTTATGTTTATGCCCTAAAGTTTTTATTGTTTTTTTACCATGATAGCTAATATTTCAATTATCAAAAGAAATAAGTAAGATGATACCGGATCCCCTTGTCTACAGCCCCTTTTTATGTCTACAAAGTTGGGTTAAAAAACATTCTGTATGATAGCCGAGGAAGTTTTTGTATTAAAACATAACAGATAATAATATCAAACTGAAGTCACACAAGTTAAACACAATTAAGAGAAATCTGAAAATAAGTACAAGTTTAACTAATATATGACAATAATTATAAGAGAATTCACACAAATCTGAAAATACAAGTTTAACTAATATATATCATAATAAATATATGACTGATTCTGAAAATTGTTCTAAATATTGATTATTATTTTGCAATTATTAACAGTTATTGATTATCTGATTAGAAGTTGATTTACCTGTGCAATTTACCTGTACACCATTTCTGCAATAGACTATAGCTCACTATCATCACAACTGGCCACCTATGTAAACATGTGATTTTAAGCAGAGTTGGTGTTCGGGGAAGACCCCGTTTAACAGATAACAGCACACGTGTCATCGACCTATTACTGAAACCTGTTCATATACAGATTGCTCTGTTATTTGTGTGGAAATCTCTGATGGATTGGTGGTTTTTAAAGGAATAAGCACTTACCGAGAAATAATCGCCAAAGTTAGGAAGTACAGGTTCAGTTTTTATGTTCCAGATCACTTACTAATAACAGTTTTACTCTAAACAGGCTTGTAGTGATTTCACTACAAAAAAACTATATTCAAATTATACAGCGTTGTATTATTTTATGGATTTTCAGAATAAGTCTCATTTGTCTTTGTAAAATGTTTCTATCGCCAAAGCTCGTTCGGTGTATTAAAACTGACAGAGTGTAATTAGGGCAGTATCTTTAACTTTATTTCATCATGGGTACTATTTTTGAATTTGTTCTTCATTAAAAATTGCTCTAAGTTTTGCCTACCTACCTTGTCGTATCGTTTGTGATTGATGTTTGTCATTGTTGTTGATTGTAATGAAGAATTATCTTATACATCTGACCTGAAAGGCGTCCTTTTTCTGTTTGTAGATATATGTATTATTATGGTTTAATGTACTGCAGTCTCTATTAAATTTACCTAAAATTCTAATTTATCTACTATAATGACCGTCAAGCAAATTACACAGTGAAGTCAGGGTTGCCCTCCTAAGCACGATACTAATGACCGTAGTGAGTTGAATTAATACAAGACAAGACAAGACAAGACAAGATTTTATTCTTTTAAACCACAATTTACATGTGATATTAAGAAAATATACAATGGGTACATTCAAGATAGAGTACTTGCTGTTTTAACCAGGAGAACGGACTCTC